AGAAAAGAAGAGACGTTTTACAAGAAAAGAGGAGACCCAAAGAAAAGTGCTTGCTGCGCAACCAAGGTTTTTTTAATCATGCACAAGAGTGATTTTGTTTATATTGGTGTTAATTTCATTTTTTCAAAAAAAAAAAGTTTATTTTCCACCAACGATATATTAATTTAAATGGAGAGAGTACAATTTTTTTAAATAAAGTTTTGAATTTAAATTTTGTAAATGAAGAAATAAGTATTATGAGAATTTCTTTTCGTGAGTTGCGATGTAACTTGATTTTAAATTAATTAAAATTTTATGTGATTTCTAAATATATGGGGTTAATACAAAAAAATATTTATTTTCCTTGATAGGGTAGAAACAAACACCAATACCATAAGATATGTTGCCCCATTATTATCTTAATTAAACACTTTATCGAGGACCTTTTTGGATAGTGGTAAATTAAGCGAGAGTCCTAAACTCAGCAAAAGTCCTAGGTTTAATTCATAATGACACCACGAGGTGGGAATCATAAAGGAAGAGGGAAAATAATTAAAGAATATTTTTTGTTGTATAATATTTTTATACAATTTTATGTCATTTAATTATTAATTTTTTATTATATTAAAACCCATAATATATTGCATTTATGCAATTATTTAATAGCATATAAATAAAGATTATACAAATAAGTTATCTGTATATCATTACTAAAGAAGAGGGTTACCATGTGATTCTTGAACATGCATGAGTTTAATATGTCCCTCGGCTTGCATGATCCAACAATAAAAATTATGTATAAATTTTTTTTTTTAAAAAAATCATTTTATATTCCATTAGCCAATGGCAGTAATACACACTTGACTAACAAATTTTATCAGCAAACAAATGTATTAACATAAAAAAAAAAAAAAGAGAAAAGAGAAAAGAAAAGAAAAACAAACAAATGTATTAAACTATATATGTTTGATTTAACTATTTGGAAACAGTTAGATAGCTTACTGTCGATATCCAATGATTCATGGTTGTTATTTATGGTCCAAATACTTTTGTTTGTTTATTAAAGCTAATAGTTAATAATAGTCGTTACTAAATACAATCCTTTCTTTTACTGCCAACAAACAAATGGGCCGGTTATGCACCGAGCCCTTCGGGCCAAGTGGCAACAGCCACCCATGGTGTATTCTCCCCTCCCCCAGAGTTGGGGTTCGAACCCAGCCCCTTGTAAAATTCGTTCAAAAAAAAAAAAAAACAAATGGGCCGGTTATAACTTGGTATTTCTGGCGGGCTGGTGGCTCATTGAGGGCCTATTGTAAACCCCAATAGCCCATACTTTATCGGAAACTTTTTTTTTTTTTTTGGGTAACAGAAATTCTCCGATTCCCGTTTCGGGTAGCCATGGAGACTGATTTCACCAAGTTCTGTTTGAAAAGTTGAGTCGTAGAACCACCAATGGAAAAACCCTAAACGATTTCCATATAATTAACTATTTAATCAATCAAACCGTAATTTCTTTTTATTTTTTCTTATATTTTTTACTTGGGTTTTCGATTTGATGCAGTTGTTGTTCACCTGAGAGCTACCGGTGATGCTCCTGTACTTAAAGCAAGCCAAATTCAAGGTGTTTCCTTTATATACCCTAGAGAATTCTGTGTATGTGTAAAATCCTGCTTTTGTTATTGATTCTGCTTAAAATTACGGTTCCTACTAATGTTTTGATGAAATTCTGAGACAACTTTATTTTGGTTTTAGAAATAATTATTAAGGATTACATACGGTATTAAGCTGACATTCCGATTTGTTTTACAGGGAATTTGAGGGTCAGGAGTAGCAATTTAAAATGAAAATATTTCTAATTGAAGATTGATACTATTTTCAATATACTAGGATAATGTTTGGTTTTATATACTGATAAATATAAGGTTGAAGATATCTAAGATGGGTTTTGTCTCCAAGTTGCCAGCTTGATAAATGTTGATGCTGGAATCATAAGTTGATTCTGAGCTTTAGTTTTATATGGAAATGGTGCGTTGGCAAAGACCTTTCTTTGTGTCCTTGTCCCTCTAAAATGATATGTGTCATATGCATCAGGGCTAAATTAGCGCCCTCTGCCAAGAAAGCGCTTAGATCCCGTTCCAGAGTACGGTATTGATTTGTTTCACGTAAACAATCTAACTTAATCATGTATTCCTAACCTGAATCTCGCCTTCTGAGAAAATCTTGGATTCTACACTAATCATTTATTGGCATGCTTTTGATCTTGGCAGGCTTTTGATCTTGGCAGATGGCTGGAACTGAAAAGTTTTCTAAAGTTATTATTTTTTACCAAGGCAACCACGCCGGAATACCCTGGTAGTTGATTTTTGAGTTTCTTTTTCAAATTTATAGCAATCTATTCACTTACAATTCTTTTATAGTTTGTCTATGTCAACAATGCATTCTCACCAAACCCTGATGAATTAGTGATTGACCTATATACTGTAAGTCTTAATTTACTTCCCTAGTCTCTTCATTCTTAAGCATTACTTTCTTCAATAATTGCATTCTGCATATTGTAGGTGCTATGTCACAAAACTTTCTTACTTTTTATCCAGGAGTAGTTGTTTCATATTTGTCATGGAAAAAAATAAATCAAAGTAGAAAGGATATTGACTTCAGATAATCACTTATGCAGTGGTAATGAAATACATTTATAAGAGTAGTGACACGACAAATTTCTCCTTTGTATAATGACATGACTAAACAAATATCCCAATACATATAACTGAATCAGACATGGTATGGATTAAGTAGTGACATAGATGATATTTTGTCTGTGTTATGCTTCTCTATGTTTTCTTTTTGTATTGTAGATAGAGTTAATCTAAAATTTCTGGATACCTGCAAGGATATTGGTCTATGTGCATGGCATTGAGCCTGATAATGGCATAAGGAGACAGGTCTCATTGAAAGGTCCATTCTTCCATAAATACGTTTGTTTGGTCCATGCATTCTGTGATAAATGTACTGTATCCAAGAAAGTAGATTCTAGTCAAAACATAGAGAGTATCGGTTTTCTGCACCACAAGAATTTCTCCTTGCCCCATTTTTAAAGATGGTGCCAATAGAATCCATTATACTTTGGATTCTACATAAAAAATGAGAATTGAAAGTAAAAAATGCTTTGGTGTTCTTGTAGTATTAATGACAGACGTGTTGATTGAGTTCTTTGACTTGCTGATGAGTTCTCATCACCCTGAATTTAGATTTTGCAACAACTGTGTCTGCATTTTGCTCCATCATCTAATTATTTTATTTTTTGCATTGCAGAGTTTTGGTTTTGATTGTAAACTGGTGATCAATTATGCATGTTCCATGGCCTGGGGCTAACCTTTGATGATGGTTCTCTGGGTATGAGTTTTACAAGTTCCGTAACACCTCTCTGTGTGCTGATATAACCTCCACGTCATTTTAACTTGCCTCTAATTTTCTCATCTCTGACTTCCGCACTGCTCCACTGTAGCAGAGTTTTAATTTCACACTTGCATACAAGCAGTGGTGTATTGCTGGGAATCTGAAGAACATTTACAGATGGTGACAGCATCCATATTTTAGTTGTGCATTCTGTGGAATTCAACCCATTATTATGGTTCAAATTGGCAAAACCTTAATAGATTCACATGATAAATTTACATTCTGTAAGTTTCTTGTGTCTATTAGCAGCAACTACCAAATTTAGATTGAAGTAAAGACAGATTGTCCCTGTTTGCGTTATTCTAGCCCATTGTTTGTTTCTGGAATTATTACTCTACTTGTGCTTGTCATAATGTGATGTCATTTAGTATGCTATCCCCTTGATTGATTGCTGACAAATAATTCAACCCCTGTGGGCCTTGCAAATTGCAATTTATTTCAATGTCAAGCATTTATACCTCATCAATATGCTCAGTTTTGTTTGGTAAGAACGGTTAATGTTGCAGACAATAGTTGTGGTACCAAAAATAAATGGCTACTGGACTTTTCCTTGGCATTTTTGAAGCAATTTCAAGTCTACTGGCAAGGTTAAAGTAATGTATTTTGACTTAGGATTGCAACTAACACCCTTGAAACTAGTGTTTGTACCCAGAAACTAACATGACATTAGAGAAAACCAGAGATCTGCTAAGCTGCACAGATGTCAAAGGAGCAATGAAGGAATTTGTACTGTCTCCCAAGCCTCTGTTCCCTTCCAAGTTGATGTAAAGGTGAATTTAAATTATCTACTGAAATCTTTCAGGTACTAGCTCATGAAGATATTCCCAGCAGCATTGTGCACTTTCAACTTATTAGATCTGATCCCATATTTTGTCATGTTGTAAAACTTGTTTTGTTCTGGCTACAGCCATAGCAGGACCATGAGCAAACAGAAGGGAACAAAAATAGAACTTGCCAAGGTAGCTCTACAAGGGAAAGAAGAGTAAAATTTTATTCTGTTGCTCAACCTATTTATTCAAACAAGGGGAAGAAAACATTCCTCTTGCATACAAAAAACATAATTTCTTGGTTATAACTTTATAAAGCAATTAAAATTGTGATTTTGTGCACATGAATGTGAACTCTGAATATATATTTTTTTTTTGGTTTTTCGTCTGATATCCGGGGTTTCGTCTCGACTAATTCGGACTCGATCCACGTCACGTACCTGAAAATGATGGGTGAGTTTTTCAGCGGGGGCTGCTGCGTACACAACGACTCGAACTCAAGAACTTGTTTAAAAACTCTGAATGTTTGATAGTGGAGTATTGCGTGTATGAAGTGTGGATTTTGCCGGACTAGGTGTTGGCTGGCTCCAGTGGGACATCATTGTCTGAAATAAAAATAGATTTGTTTGCTTCTGCATGAATGTTTTCTGATGCAAAAGAAATTGACCCTTCTTGACTTCTTGCAATGAAACAAAATTGTTTAATGATAGATGGGACGAAATATGGGGACGGAACGATGGGACCATGGTTCGTGCCATGTCATAATTTCTTTTAATTTTATAAATTTAAAATGGAAAGAAAGATTTTGATCTATTTTCCCTTATTGGGTATTTATCATGATAGTAAGTTTAATTCAAGAGGAGAAGAGAGAAAATATTTTTTTGATTAATCAAATTATAATATTTAAAAATATTATAATTTAATTAATTAAATTTTTTTAAGTTAAATATATTATTAAAATATGTTGAAGTTAAATTTTATATATTTTAAAATTAATTTTTTTAAACAAATTTTAAAATTTATTTTTAGGGCAAATTTAATACATTTTAAAAAAATAATTTATATAAATATTAGTCCAATTAATGTCAACATTGGAATAGAGACACGAGATGATGTGAAAAAACTGGGATTTGGTAAAGGGAAAGGGGAACGGAAAAAAAAATGGGGAATTGTGTAGAAGATGAGTGGGGGGACCCAATTTTAAGTTCCTTTTAAAACTTTGCTGAGGTGACAAGCCACCTCACGTTCGTCCCATTTTCGTCGTGATTCATCTCGTCCCATTTATTATTATTTTACAAAATATTTCTTATTTTTATTTGTTAAATTGGAACAATACCAAAGGGAAAATAACAAATAAGCCTTTAGAATATTTGGATCGAATAGAAATGATACAGACAGCACAGGAGGAGAAGAGAGAAAAGATTTTTTTTTTTAATTAGTTAAATTATAAAATTATTAAATAATATTATTTAAGTAATTAAAAAATTTACCCCTCTCTTTTTTTATATTTTTTCTCAAACCATACGTACCCTTAATGAAATGTTGGTAACAAATTTAGCTCTTAAAGTAGCAAATAGATGCAAATAACGCAAAAAATAGATAAATTTTTATTTATATATAAATTTTATATATAATTTATAAATAAAATTTTAATAATTTATTT